TAGAGCCATCCTCTTTGGAACCCCCTTTCAGGTAGTTGAAAGCAGCTATCAAATCCCCCCCTCATTCTTCTCTTCTGCAGACTAAACAATCCCAGCTCCCTCAGCCTCTCCTCGTAAGTCATGTGTTCTAGACCCCTAATCATTTTTGTTGCCCTTTGCTGGACTCTCTCCAATTTATCCACATCCTTCTTGTAGTGTGGGGCCCAAAACTGGACACAGTACTCCAGATGAGGCCTCACCAATGTCGAATAGAGGGGAACGATCACGTCCCTCGATCTGCTCGCTATACCCCTACTTATACATCCCAAAATGCCATTGGCCTTCTTGGCAACAAGGGCACACTGCTGACTCATATCCAGCTTCTCATCCACTGTCACCCCTAGGTCCTTTTCCGCAGAACTGCTGCCTAGCCATTCGGCCCCTAGTCTGTAGCGGTGCATTGGATTCTTCCGTCCTAAGTGCAGGACCCTGCACTTATCCTTATTGAACCTCATCAGATTTCTTTTGGCCCAATCCTCCAATTTGTCTAGGTCCTTCTGTATCCTATCCCTCCCCTCCAGCGTATCTACCACTCCTCCTAGTTTAGTATCATCCGCAAATTTGCTGAGAGTGAAATCTACACCATCCTCCAGATCATTTATGAAGATATTGAACAAAACCGGCCCCAGGACCGACCCCTGGGGCACTCCACTTGACACCGGCTGCCAACTAGACATGGAGCCATTGATCACTACCCGTTGAGCCCGACAATCTAGCCAGCTTTCTACCCACCTTATAGTGCATTCATCCAGCCCATACTTCCTTAACTTGCTGACAAGAATACTGTGGATATGTCTATTTAAGAGCTAGCTCTTCTAGATGTTTCTCTGAGTTGCCTTGCAAGGGAGAAGAATTTGTGTGTTGCAGGAATTCTGAGGAAAAGCTGGGAATAGAATATGGATCTGCTCACTCCCAGGCATGTGACTCACACACGAGACCTTCCTTCTTAGCAGCATGTATGATTTATATTATAAGAGAAAAATATTTATAACCCAATAATAAAGTATCCCCTCTGCCCTTGTATTGTATGATTGTATTCATTACTGATCATTAAGAAATATCTTTTTAATAATCAAGAGGTAACAGGTGCAGTTAGAGCTATAAAGGCTTGTTGGGATTTGCCCCTCAATGAACCGATATGCAAAGGGGTGGGGGGGCGGAAGGTGGAAGTTTCACCTAGGGCACAAAATGTCCTTGCACTGGCCCTGTCTGCAGGCCTCTAGGAGACCCGTCTCCTTGCTTGGGCTTCCTGCAGCAGACTGACTTGCTCTGGCCTGCAGCTTCCTTTTATATGGGCCTGCTGGGCCCTAATTGGCTGCAGCCACTGTCCTAATTGGCTGTTTCCTTGCAGCCTTCAAGGCTGGGTTTTAACCCTGTCAGGGTCAGTGCAGAGCAGACGCCCCATCACTCTCTGCCATAGTGAAAGGCTCTGGCAGTGGGGAAAGGCTCTGGCAGAGGGGAGGCAGTGGGGAAAGGCTCCAGCAGCAGGAAATTCCTTGACACTTTTCCCACTGTTGGAGCCTTTCCCTTCACCTGTAGCTAAAAAACAAAGTAACAAGCATAGATGCAGCCTGCCTTTCACTGCAACATGTAGCTACATGCTGTTGCCTGATCTATTGATTGTGTATTGATTATGCTGATTACTTCAAAATTCCCATTTAACACTCTGAGGTTCAGTAGGTTCTTGTCCAAGAGCAGGCCCAGTATTTTTAAAAGTAAAGTTTAGTTGGGAACATTGACATGCACAGTTGCAACACTTCCACTTAGGAAAAAACCTTCTGTATTTGTAATAGTTTTATTAACACAGTTAGCAAAGTCACAAACACACCAAACCAGTAAGAGAGAGAGAGAGCTAAAACAGAAAGTGCATCTGAGCATCCATTTACTCCACTCTCTCCATGCCAAACAGAGCTTGGCCATAAGAGAGAATCTGGCCCTCCAAGTTTGTATGTCATTTAGCTTAGAAACACTTATTCACTCTTGAATAGAAAAGGAGTACTTGTGGCACCTTGGAGACTAACCAGTTTATTTGAGCATAAGCTTTCGTGAGCTACAGCTCACTTCATCGGATGCAATCGGATGCATTCAGTGGAAAATAAATAAATCTCCCCACTCCACTGAATGCATCCGAATGAAGTGAGCTGTAGCTCACGAAAGCTTATGCTCAAATAAATTTGTTAGTCTCTAAGGTGCCACAAGTACTCCTTTTCTTTTTGTGGATACAGACTAGCACGGCTGCTACTCTGAAACCTAAGAATTTAATGTTTAGGACCTTATTTATATCTACATTACTCCAGTTTTAAGCCAGTATATCTCCAGTGAAATCAACTAGAGTTACACCAGTTTAAAACTGGAGTAACATACTGTTGAGTCAGGCTGAGATTATTTTAAAACTTTCTTTTTTAATATGAATGTACTCAGAATTTGCATTCATTTGCATTTGAATAACATGGAAACAAATAAGATTAAAAAAATCTGATTTTAGTAAAATGAATAATAGCCATATTGGTACTTGACTTGCTTTTACTGAACGTAGAAACAAATGTTGGCTGGACGTGTTGTCCGTTCATCAGTAATTTAGTTACAGAAATAGTTTTCAGTAATAAATATCACAGTGGTTACAATTACAGCCTGACCTGCTTTTTCTGAGTGTAAAGTACTGTGCAAAACTAAGCATTGATGCAGTACACATTTAGGAAACGAACAGTCACAAATTGAAATCATTTACAGTTTTGTGTTTTGCTTAGTTAGTAGTACTCCAATATTCCCATGTAGACGTTACTGGTAATTACCTGCAAATGATAATTGTACAGATTTTACTGGCTGAAGCATTGTTGTAGCTGCATTGGTCCCAGAGAGACAAGATAGGTGAAGTAATATTTTTTATTGGACTAACTTCTATTGGTGAAAGAGACAAGCTTTGGAGCTACACAGTGCTCTTGTTCAGAGTTTACTAGTGACCATTTCAATATTCTTTTACCACAAACCTTGACTATATGGTCTCATGCCACAGCACCTGCACTAAACAACTTTATCTCCCTGAAAACTCTCTCATGCTAAGCAAAAGCTTCTCCCCAAACGTATTAGCTGTTTGCTGCAAGCCTTGCAAAGTCCAAAATCTATATTTTAAAAAAAAAGTTTCAATTCTAGTGTGGTTAACTTCCCATTTTGTGTCTGCTCCCCATTTTGTAGCTGGATGATAAATAAAATGCTGGTGTTATCAAATACTTGTGGTCAACCATGTAATGTGATTTTACAGGCTGAAGCCCACCAGTGGACTAAGAACTTTTACAGGATGAAGGCCACTAGCGAGCTAGCTGTCCATTTAGATCAGTTAACATCAGTATGAAAAGTTACAAAACAACTAATGGTTTGGTTAGTTTCTCAGCTGATATAAATCAGTGTAGTTCCACAGAGGTCAGTGCAGCTACATCGATTTACACCAGTTGAGAATGCGGCTCCAAAATGTCTCAGAAGCTGTGTAAAACACATGTTAATCTGATCGGCTAAGAGTGTAACTCTGTGAGTTATGGCTTAGAAAGAAAATACTTCTACACTAGTTCCACCTACTGGATTCTAAGATGTAATACCTGCCAAAGGACTACGAAAACAAAATGTCTGAATGGATGGTAGCTAAATCAAGTGTGCTATTATAAGTTGCATGGTATTTACTTATGAAAAATACATTCTCTTTAGGGTTTTTTGTGTTTAATTCCATCAGTCAAGATGCATTTCTGCTACCACTGTTCTCTGCAGCAGACTCCCATGTATTAAGAGAAAGTAAGGTGCCCAAGATGGGAAGCGCTAGAGCAATAGGGTATATAAGTTATAAAAGTGAAAATCAAGTAGGAGATCTGATCACAGCAGGATGAGATAGCAGGATTCATGTTTGTCATTATGAGGCTTTTTCCACAATTTGGAAATTAATTACTTTTCTATTTATTTGTACACTCATAAACAAGTTTCTACAATTCCTCATTAAATATGATAACTAGTTGTTGACTCTGTCAGAATAACTACTCTGGCGACATCTGATGCAGTATGTTACACTGCAGTCTTTATGATTATTACAAGTCTAAAACAGGGTTCTCTATTTTGAAAATACAGACTGCCTGGTTCTTTTCGAATCAGTTCACTCATAAGGCTGAGAGAGCTTGGTGCTCTGTCCCTGGCCTCTCCCTGTTGTATACCTTTCCCTGTGGTAATTCATTGTTTGGCACCTGTTTTCAGTAAGGAGCTGGGAGGGGGGAAGAAAAAACTGATGCCAGAAGGTCACTAGAGAATGAATATGAATGCAAAAAAGTCTAAATGAGCAATAAATCCTTGCATTCTTCCTTTTGTATTTTCCCTCTTATATTCCTTTTAATCATTTGTTGTGCATTTTTAATGTATCCTCTGTATCTTCAATATCTCCACATTCAATCTCTTCAAGGCTTTATATTTGAAAGTGAAATTCTGACACTTCTCTCCCTGTTATGGTCACCCTGCATAGTATTGATTAAAGCTGCAGTCACCCTACGATAGCACTGATTAAAATAGGTTGCTCAAGTGTAAGATTTGGAAAAGATTTGGGTACTTCAAAGTACTTATATAAATGTAAATGGAAAAAATAATGTTTTAACAGAACAAGTAAAACATAATCAACCAATAAACACATCCACTGTAGATGTTCCATAAGCAAAAACAACTTTGTGGCATATGTAGATGTTTCCAGGGTTGTGGAATAATTCTGCCTTCTGCTATAAAACCTTTAATCTGCCAGACAGTTTGAAAACCCTAAATGCAACTATTTATGTTTGTAATTTTTCAGTTCCCCCCTACCTATACATCTCTCGCTGCTTTAGCACAGGTCTCTGTCATAAATTAACAGTTTATGCTACATTGGTTACAATTAATTTCAGTGCTTCTTGTTACCAATAAAAAGATACTTCATAAATAATTTTGTGTGGTTTTCTTGATAGACGATAAAAGCAGAGAAGAGAAGCAAAGTAATGAAGAAACTGAGGGCCAGAGCCAAGAAGCAGGTTTGTGCTGAGCTCTTTAAAGCATTCTCCCAGGCTTTATCCACCTTGGTGAACAATAACCTTAGTCAATGCTATTGACTGAAAATGTTTGTACGTTTTCACCAGATTAACCCAGGGCTTGTGCAGTTCTCCCATTGGAGACCACAGCTCCATTCATTATGAATGAATCTGTTGCAGTGCAGGAATGCAGACTTTCCTGTTAAGTTACTACCTCCACATTCCCACTTTAAATTGGAATATATCTTGCTAATCCGCTAAATCGAAAAAAATAATTTTCCATGCATGTTTACATCAGTGTAGCACTCTATAAGAAAGAATAATGAGAAAAATAAGTTGGGGGAGATGAGGGAGAGATCTAAAATTGGTCTTTCAAGGTTTTAATGGTACTTTTAGATTGTAATAACTATTTATTTCCAGGTTTCAGAGTAGCAGCCGTGTTAGTCTGTATTCGCAAAAAGAAAAGGAGTACTTGTGGCACCTTAGAGACTAACAAATCCCAGAAAATTGGATTATTAAGATTTACATCCAAACAGAAAGAGCTTACATGTGAAAATCAAAACCTGCAAGTGAATGTCAGAGTTCATAAAGTACTAGATTTGCAAATGATGTGTTTATAAATGTATGTTACAAGTTATGAATTGGATATTTTAAAATAAAATGGTACTCTGTTCCAAATGTATCCAGCCAACAGAAATGACAACCAGAATTGAGCAGTTTTCAAAATGACTGAAGTGATAAGTCAAAGCCACTATAGATACCCTTATTCCTTTGGATTTCCAACCCACTGCTACACAGTAAAGTGCTTTTCTTGTTTTTTTTAACATTGTGCTATGTCTGATTGGTACCAGCAAATTAATATACTAGACCAGTGTGTTGCCTACACATACTGAATTCAGGTAGCATGAAACTTCTCTACTTAGAACTTTTCAATCAGCTCTGAAAGCTTTTATTATTACCTAGGAGATGGAGACCACCAGTCAGCAAATGCAGCAGAGTGAGGCAAGAAGGTAGCCTATGTTACTGAGTCGTCTGGTCTGTTGACTGCATTGTGGCTCCTTGTGAAGAGAGAAATATGTGTGGTGATAAACTTCTTTCCTCCCTTTGCTCCACCCTGCAGAGGAAACACTGTGTCTGAAAGGCTTTCCCTGTTCTCCTCTTCATTCTACTCTAGTTTTATTCCATTCTCTGTTAAACTGAGGTCATTCTTGGATGCTCGCAATTTAGCAGGTTTCATCCATTTACCTCTCCTCCCTGTTCTTACTTTCTTTAACCTTACCACAACAAAAACACACGTGCACTAACTCATGTTCTTCAAGGGCCTGATCCAGAGCCTATTGAAGGCAATGGAAAGACTCTCATTGACTTCAATGGCCCTTGGATCCAGCCCTCTGAGCTCTGGACTCTCCTTTTATCCCACCAGGGTAAGCAGCTTCCTTGCAGACTACAGTATCATACAAGAGATTTAGAACAAAGCAAGTCACCAACCACACTTCCTTTCCTACACTTAATAGCTTCACCTCTGCAGTGCTCATAGACTTAAAGAGCCACAGGGCAAGAGTCATGAGATCACTGAATTTTGGGTCTTTTGTGTTGTAGCTAGTTGCAGTACCAGCATGTAGATGCTTTGAAAATTCTGCATAACCTTTGCCTGATGAACCATTAGTTCAGTATTCATCTTTTAACTTTACAAAATAGTGCTTTGCTTGTAGTTCACAGCAGTCCAAACTCCAGAGGTTTCTGCTCAACCTAGATAAATTACCTTCTAAAAATACCCTGAGTGGCCCACTACACATTCAAATATTTTAGCTGTATCTTCTGATGAAATGCATATCTCCTGTGTTTATTAACTCATGAAACAACTCAGTTGCAGTGAGCTGCATTTCATCTTTCCCCTGGGAAGCAACTGTGAAAATGCTTACCTTTTAAAACTATTACTTAGCTTGCTTGGGTGTTGTTTCTTTCAGAAGTGCCATTACGACGTGTCACTGTTACAAACTGTTACACTCAGTTTATCAGAAACAATGATGTTCATTCTTTTACTATCATTTATAATATTGATACTCAGTGATTCATGACTAAACTTTCAGATCATAGAGTTATTGTTGGATTCAGCATTATTCAGGGGGGCAAAATAATACATGGAACTTTTAAGACCACTTCTATTTCTGTCCATTGTTTACTTGGCAATATACATGTGAAATTACCTTATTTTCATGCACAATTGCTGGCGAAATGTAGAAAATATAGTCAGCACACACAAAAAAAATCTAATCATTATGAAGAACATGCTTATTATTAGGAAGTTTGTAAGGAACAACATTTTAACTGCTTTCCAAGTGTGAAAATTCCTTCTCCTCAGGCAGCTGTCTTTTGTAAATCAAAAGGGAGATCTTTCATGGGATAATAACAAACACATCACAAATATATTACTTTTAAAATTCCAAAAGAATCTAAACTATCATCACTAAGCATCTGAGTTAATACTCTTAAAAAGCACTACATCAGTTTGTAGTCTTTAGCACAATGGTTAGGAAACTCATGGGGGGAGACTCAGGTCAAATTCACATTGAACTTGGGTTTCCTATGTTGCAGAAGACTGTCCTAGATCCTGGGCTATTGAATTGAACCTGGATCTCCTGCATCCTGTGTGAGTTCCCTAACTGCTGAGCTAAAGGCTACAAAGTGACATAGCACTTTCAATTCTGATCGTTGCCAATCTCTCCCAAATGAAGCTGTTCCACTTTTCGTAAATAATTGGTCAGTGGAGCAAGGACATGAACTTGGGTCTCCCAAATCATAGATTAGTTCCCTGACCACCAGGATATTGGGTCATTCTTCTTCTTATTCCTCACCCAGTTACTATTCATTGTCATTATAAACACATTTGAATTGCCACTATGAATGACAAAATTTCACTCTGCTCTAGTAGTCCATACATTTTGTTGTCAAGAGGAGTTGTTTGCATGTGAATCCTCTAACCAGATTCTTATTAAAAAATTTTGCAAAATTTACATCTTGATCCCTCAAGGTGCTACCAAAGCTCTTAGGCCCCAATTCAGGAAAGCACTTAAGCATATGTTTTAAGTCCCATTGAAGTCAATGGGAATCAAACACATGCTTAAAGTACAGGTTTCAATGCTCTACTCAATATGGAAGTATTATGCACATGCTTAAATGCTCCCTGGACTGGGTCCAGAGTGCTTGTAAGATCAAGCCCCTGTAGTCCTTGCAAAGTGAGGATTTTGCAGCACAACGCACCCCTGAGGTGGATATTATTATTAGTATTATTTATTATCCATGTCTTACAGGGAGGGAAGCAGAGTGGAGACTTAGGGCTTAATCCAAGTTTATCATGGCCATTGATGGGAACAGGACCAGGCCAATGGAAGCCCATGGCAAAGAAGGAAATAGAACCCAGATGTACTGACTCCTCAGACTTGTCTTCTAGCCACAAAGGCCCCTGGATGCATTAGGTGTACCAGTCCACTCATCCTAGTTTCTAATAAATAACCACTATTTCTCTTTTGCTTCCTCCATTTGTACAGATGAGGCAAAACCGACAGCTGTACCCAGCCCACCATCAGAAGAAGGAATAGAGCTGTGCGAGGATAAAGGTACAGATAACAAGATGCATCTCAAACTACTCAATCCGAAGAGGATACTTCTCAGGGCCATATTTTCCTTTATGTCTGAAAGAAGCTAGACTGAGACTTAAAAAATCAAAAATCGCTACAAACTTAGATTTTAATTTTAAAAAGACTTTCTAATGCAACACTTGGCAACTGCTATTGTGCCAGGGTGAGAGGTGCCATAAAATCTTAGCTCTCAGCATTATGGAGTTAATATAACAATGCCATGCTTGAAACATCAGATATAGACCCCAGACCTGATCTCAGTAGGATGACTTTGCGTAAAATTAAGTGCACGCATAAATCTTTGAAGTATCAAGTCCCTAATTAGTTCTGTCCTGATAGAAAAAAAGATAAAAACAGTAACTATAAACACATCATGGGGAGGCAGAAGGAGATGAAGTCATAATTGAGAGAGAGAAAGTAATGTTTATCTTGTGCAGATTGTGCTGGGCACTCAGATCATTTAGATTGTGATAAATATTTAAAAGTGTCACGGGGCCAAATGACAGAGAGTTTAGGAAACAAGACAGAGAGGCGACATAATGTTTCAAACTAGGATTTTCCCGTTTTGTTGTTTCATTTACAGATAGGAGACCAACACTCAGACATACTGTTCTTGATCCTTTTTATGGCATCACACCATTAATTACTCATGCTAGTCTAGATTGTTTTAGAATTCTTTTTGGTATGTGTAAAAAAAAAAATCCCATGGTGATTTATAAAACCTTTGCTGCTGGGTAATTCAAAACAGGAGTTATGTTATCTATCATAAATATCGTCCATCAGTGCAGCCTTCAAGTAAGACTACTAGAGAATTTTAATGCATTTTACTGAGATAACATAATTATTAACTTATTTATTTTAAGAGTTAATGTTCAATTCAATGCCACCACCCTACACTCTCTCTCTCTCTCTATTGTGTGAGGAAGTGCTTGTGAAATCTCACTCTTTTGTTCCAGAATAGCATATTAAGGAGCCCACAGTCTTGACCTGATTATGGGTTCAAAGCTCAGTTTAGGGTGATTTTCCTGCTCTCTCAACTGGCTGATAGAAACACCGTATAGATGTTTTTAAAAAACCTGGCCAGAATATTTGTGTTTGACATTGAAATCCTCCTAGATTAAGGTCACAGCAAGGCTAACAGCATTCACAAATAGTGCGAGTTCATTCTAAGCATGGTTGATGATTAACCTTCATTTATGCCTCCTCTTTACCAATATATGACCTATTTATGAGGTCCACGTCTATAACATCTCTTCTGGAAATGTTTATTATAGTCAATATCATAAGTGGCAGGATTTTATTTATTTATTTATTTTTGCTTTCTTGGGTCTTCATGGAGATCTTGAAATTTAGATATTACTTTGCATCCTTGCTCCTGATTTTGAACCTTCTGGGTGCATGTTAAGTTGTGAAGTGAATGAATACTGATTTATTTTCCATAGAAATTACCTATCATCTTTGTGTGTAACCATTCTTCTAACTTTACCCATACTGTTAATGTACTCTTGTCTGGAAACAAGGAAAGGATTTTCTCACTGAGGACAATATGAATAGAAAAGTTAGTTTATTGGCTTCATGGTGATAGAGTAACTGAAGTTAGGAAATTGTGCTTAAAATCTGGCATCACGCAAAGAAATATATTATGGTACTGTGGCATCTCACACACAAGATTCTAAGGACCAGATTCCTAGTTAATCCATCTATGAGCATGGTACAGGGTTGGATGGGGTGGAGCAAAGATAGCATAAAGCCACCTTTGCATTCTCCATATTGTGGGGCAATGCAGAGTCTGCCTGGCCCATGGTGTAAGTTAAAGCAGCCCGTGCTCTGCCTCCATGGCCAAGAATAGACATATTGCAGCGCAGTCTGGCCATACCCCTATCTTCTGCCTACCCCTGCAGCCTGCGTAGAACCCTTACTGCCAGCCCTACACCATTCAGGGAGGCCCTTTGTGCAGAGGGTATTCTCAGGGTCAGGGAATAGTTTCTCTCTCTGTGACTCCATTGTTCTGGAAGAACAATGTTAAAGGTCCTTAACAGTTACTGAAAATCAAGCCCTATGTGTATATGCTGTAGAGAAAAGACTGTTTTATACTGTGTTATAATCATAGTATATTTTTGGTGCATATGTGCCTTTAAAAATCCCATACAGCACCAGTGTGTACTGTGGGGTTATTCTTCGACTGTAGGATTTTGTATTACACTGTTTCAGAGAGATTCAAATGCCTGGCACTGATGTGTGTAAGTTACCTTTCAACCTGTCTGGTGTTTAGAGTTGGTTCAACCCAAGGAGGAACAGCAAGTAGTTTTTTTAAAGACTGTTATTCCAAAAATATTAGTGCTCAGATAGTCCCTCTGACTGAAGGGGAGCAAGTGGGAGCACTAATCTGTAGATTCGGCCCAGGGTGATGAGGCATAGTCTCCAAATTCCTCCCACCTTCTCTGCAGCTCACCACAGCATTGTTCTCCACCAGTTCCAGCCTGACACAATTCAGTGCTGACAAAGTACATGCCTGTTAGGGGACCTGCCATGGAGAGATCCTAGAGGGAGCTCAGAGAGAAACCGTGATCCCATCACGCCTGTGGATCATGCTGATGATTCGTGTTTGGATGCTTCCCTGGCCTTTGGTGGCCAGCCACCCTGCCAGTTGGAGAAGGAGGGAGGCAAAGCATACCCTTGAGAGAAGAATTGGGAAGTAACTCCCATGAGACAGAATGCATGGTTGGAGAGAGCATTGGGCCAAAACTTCTGAAGACCTAAAATAAATGGCCATAATTTTAAATATATATATTGAATTTAAAAATGTAATTAAGATCTCAAACCATTAACCATACAATATAGGTAGGCTTGGAAGGAGCTGATGATGATAAAAATTTACAGATAGTCAAAATAAGAAAATGCTACTTGAGAACTTAAAGTTTTATTTAAGGACATTTACTTTGTGTATTTTGACACATGATCTTGACAATTTGTGTTTTAACTTTAAAGATAAAGCTTGAACTTGAATCTCAGCGTCTATTGTCATTAAAGAATTGTCTAACCTCCCCCACTAATTTCCCACAACTGTGAAAATGTAAATTGATACAAACAGAAAAAAAAGCTTAAAAGTGAACATCAAGATTATCTGTAAAAAATAAAAAATAAAAATTGCTTTCTGCCAATCCTAAATATATGTAAGAAGTTAGAACTGAAAGATAAATGCATTCTAAAATGAAATAAATTCAAATCAGTTCCTCTACCCTTATCTGGGAAAACCAGTGCTCAGAGGGTAGGTTGCATTTCGCTTACAACAGATATCATCACAGACATCTCTTGGGGGAAAAGAAGTGATGCTCTCCATGCCGTTTGAGATATTTGTGAAATAACAGCCGTTGCAGGAGAAACACAGAATGAAGGATGAGCTGCTTTTCACATATATTTTTAAATAGAATCAAGGCCTGGATCCTGTAACTTGGCTTTGCAAAGGTAGATCACTGTCCCCTACCCCCAGAACCCTTTGCAGGATCAAGGCCTTTTAATTCTACTCAGACACTCCAAATTTCTATATTTGCTGATTTTAGTCAGTTTAAAAATAATAACTTTCAAAAAGCTTATTAGCAGACAGGAAAATGGCATCTCTATGAAATCCTGGCATTTCTAAAAACAGCCTTCAAACGATTTGCACACGGAATTAACAGCAGCCAAAAACTGCCAGATCCTGGACTTATAAAACTTTGTAATTTATCTTCAGCTAACTGAAATGAATGTAAACTGTTTTAAGAAATCGTATTTTTCCAGTTCTTTCACCTTATAAATATGAAGGCAGGTATGTGGCAAATACATTCCAAGCCACACAGCTTCAAAGAGATAGATGTGCACAGCTTGAATCACTGATGAACTACTGAGATTAGCACATCTACTATCCCCATTCTATGAAAATATAAAAGCGTCTTTCAGTACATTAGATTTGTTGATAGCAATTCCATAATAGAACAGGTATCATAATTCCAGTTGTAAGCAGTTCTCTTTTCTCTACTAAATTGTTAACACACTGTGGGAATCAGAAAAATGAGAAATAAATTGAATCGTTCATTTATTTATTGTTTTGATATATGTAAATATATATTGTTTCATAAATCTGAATGTAACTTAATGCTTATGAAATGTACCATATTATAGACTACTTTAAGACTTCCTTGCATATATCATTGTAAAAGAATATCTCTTCCCTTCCCCACATAAGAGAGATACAGGTTAAAAGAGGAACATTCTCCAAAAAGGGAGGTCCATGTGGGACCCCTTCTTTTCCTGTGGTCTTTAAACAGATGCATCCTTGGTATCCTGCCTCTCCTCAACAGTAAAACAAGACATATTCAGTTTTAGATATCCAGTTCCGCTAACAGTATTTCTTCCTCTTACAAGCATACGTGGATGTTAGGAATTGTTCTCTGGAAGTATCCTCTTACTGCAATCCGTGCCGGCTCTCCGTTTACATCATCATAGCATCAGGAACATTGCCTTGTCTCACTGAATCATAGTTTCAAATATAGATAACACTCCAAAGAAGTGTTGCTGTTTTATCTTTGAAGTCCTTCATGCACAGCTACTAGCTCATTCTTTGTAGGGTAGCAGTTCTACGCAACACCTTTGGTAGCGCTTCATTACTAACATGCACATTGAAGTAGGTTCTTTATAGATAGGTTTCAGAGTAACAGCCGTGTTAGTCTGTATTCGCAAAAAGAAAAGGAGTACTTGTGGCACCTTAGAGACTAACCAATTTATTTGAGCATAAGCTTTCGTGAGCTACAGCTCACTGCATCGGATGCATCTGATGAAGTGAGCTGTAGCTCACGAAAGCTTATGCTCAAATAAATTGGTTAGTCTCTAAGGTGCCACAAGTCCTCCTTTTCTTTATAGATAGTATATCTCAATTTAGAGACACTTTATTTATAAACACAGAACACAGTGGTCAGAATGATTAGTGCTTATAAAGCAGATAA